GGGTGGGGGGGGAGGTGGGCTGGGGGTGGGACGAGGGAGTTGAAAAAAGGAAGGATAGGGTGTTGTTAGGTCAACAGTAAGATAGAAGGGATTTTCCACCTTTAGGCCTCACATTTTGGCATAAGTACACCATCAGCGATAATTTTTTTGCCCTTTTTTGCAGGGAAAGTATTTGAGAAAGCTGGTGTAAATGTTTCTGTTGTTTATGGTAATCTGCCTCCAGCAGCTGTGGAACAGATGAGAAGCAGAGGCAGTGATCTTAAAGGAAACAAGTTTCCTTTCTTTGCAGCAGGAATTAGTTCAGTTATCCATCCTCGCAATCCATTTGTGCCAACTCTTCACTTCAACTATCGTTACTTTGAAGTCCAAGAAGAAAGTGGAAAGAAACACAGTTGGTTTGGTGGAGGGACTGATCTTACTCCTTACTATCTCAATGAAGAGGTAACTGTACTGAATTATCTTGAATCATGTTTGGTCATATCACCAGCAACTTGAAGTCATGTCATTCTAAGCTGCAGTCATGTTGTCATGTGACAGCATTGAACCCCATCCTGAAGTTATTTTGTTTCAAATCAACATCATATTATCCCTAACTTGAATCATGTCACTCCATGCAGATGTCATACAATCCCACATTGCATTGTTCTAAAATATATCCATATCAAACCCCTCCATCCTTTTGGAAATTCCGGTTTCTGTCCGATACTTTCCTTTAAAAATTTTGGCTTTTTAGACCCTCTCCCTCTTGAAATTTCCAACAACCTCAGTCGGCATGGGCATGGATATTTTTCTGGAATCACATATTGTTACCAAGTTGGCAACTGACGTTTTCTGTGTGTGTTGGTTGGCATTTTAGGAAAATGACTACTTATAAATATGCAAATAAAATGTTCTTCATCTCTTTGTTCATCATAATTTTTTAAACTCAGGATGTAAAGCATTTCCACCAGACTTTAAAGGACTGTTGTGATAAGCACGACCCATCCTTCTATCCAAAGTTCAAGAAATGGTGTGATGACTATTTTGTTGTCAAACATAGAGGTTAGTCAAAGAGAGCTGGCAGGGCTGTCGTTAAGGGCCATAACCCATAACACCTGTTATGGCTGAGTATGCTTGATTTTCCCTTGATACTACAGGTGAAATTGTCTGTTGTTGATAGAATTCATCCACAACCATTGCTACGGTTGTGGAGAACAAGGCTACAGGTGATTCAAAACTTAATACATCTCTATTCACTTCCTCCAGTTAATCTTCAGTTTTATTCTCCTTACCGCAGGCGAATGCCGTGGTGTTGGTGGTATTTTTTTTGATGATCTTGAAAAACCCTCACAGGAAGCAGCATTCCAGTTTGTTCAAGCAGGAGCTAATGCCGTCCTGCCAAGCTACATTCCTATGGTGCTTAAACACAAAGATGATCCTTACACTGATAGAGAACATCAGTGGCAGCTATTGAGGCGAGGCCGGTACGTGAATTAGCAATCAGGAAGCCTGCAGTGCAGGCGTTAATTTGGAATGGAACACTTGATAAACCAGGTTTTTGATGTTGCCATCTTATGAATTGTAATCGGCTGCTTGACCAGTGGAGGGTTGGGGAAGAGGGCAAGGGGGAAGCACTTGACCTCACATCTATTCCCTCAGGAAATTTTTCTGTGCTGCAACCCACATTTACCAAATCCAAGATGACGGCCAATTATGAAAATGTGCACTTGCACACCCAAAGTACACCTGCACTGCAGGCTAGCAATCGGGCATTCCTACTGTAACAGGGAAAGATGGGAGGCACAATGACCTGACAAAAAGTTCCCTTGGCCCTGAATTTGCAAGTCTTTGTTCATTTTGGCTCCACAAGGGTCTCAGTGCTGAGCTCCTGGGCAAGAAACCTCTTTATCATTGAGTCTCCCTCCACTGAAAAGTATTTGAGTAGCGGCAAGAATTGTTCTGGAAGCATCCTGGCAAAAATGCTTTGGGGGGCAAGGGGTGAGGGAGTCCTGCACAGGACTAGCCTTCCATGTAGGGGGAATCACTATACTCCTGGTGTTTTCATGCTTTCAATGGGCAGAAACTGTAGTTTAAGGGGTTACCGGTATGTCACATTATTTTTAAAAAGTTGTTTTTCTACCTTGCAAAATTACTTGGAAATGGAGGAAATGCAAGTGGTTTCAAAAAGAGCAAAAGTAAACTACAACGTTTTTAATTCAGCTTGACTCCATTATCAAGTAGAGAAAAGAAAATAATGGTCAAGATGTTAATTTATAGATGGAAACTTTTCTCTACTTGATAAGAAAGTCCAGATGATTTGGAAGATGACTTTTGCTTCTTTTTATGGTCAATTGTATTTTGAACTGAAGGAAATACCAATAAAAATAATTATTTTCTAAGGTAGGAGAACACTAGTAGTAGTATACCGGTAGTAGGTATATCTTGAAATATATGGTTGGTCAAGACCGGTCCTGTTGAGAGCAATATCTGGAGTGGTTCAGCAATCCCATCCTTGCACAGCAGTATTTTTTGCAGGCATTGCAGACAAATTTGTAGGGTGGATTGATGGTCTGAGATTGCTGTGACTGCTTCCTGTGTTGTCTCTTGTCCTACAACTGTTGGTTGCTCTTTTCCTCGCCCCTCTTGACCACTTCTCAAACAGTGTGGCACCAGCCACTGCAGTTGCAAACACTACAGAAGAACTCTATGGAAATACGTATCCAAAAATATACAAGGACATGTTGTGTTGTAGATTAATAATGACAAATTTGAAACATTACCTCTTTATTCAAAACGCACCATCTGTGAGTTAGTTCCTTTAATGTTTCTCTTGCTTCACAGATATGTGGAATTTAACCTTGTATATGACCGTGGCACCAAATTTGGATTGTACACCCCAGGTGCCCGCATAGAGAGCATCTTGATGTCCCTTCCTCTGGAGGCCCGCTGGGAGTACATGCATGCCCCTGAAAAAGGGAGTAGAGAGGAGGAACTTCTTCAAGTTCTGCGGACTCCTAGAGAGTGGGTAGAGTAGGCAATGCATGCATAACTTGTCACAGCTGCTACGGTAGACAGTTACATATTATTCTCTGCCACTTTTCATACACCTTCATTTTCAAAATACTGTTAGATTGCTTAATCCCATTTTTAAAAAGATTATAGTTTACGTACTTATTAGGTATACAATGCTTGCAGTCCATTGAAGCTCCCCCTGTTTTATTTTCTGCTTCTTTACTTGTTTTGCCTGCTAAAAGACGTTAGAATCATCAATTGAAAAGCTTTATGGAACCTTCCCATTACAAATCTGTAAGGTATTTTTATCTTGCAGAGAGAAAATAAGAGCACAGGTTGCATTTAATGCCCTATTTAAGATTAAGAAGTAAAATTAGGCAGGACACAGCTACAATAAAATGATGACTTCAGTTGATCAGGTTTAAGAAAGAAACGTTGGAATTTAAATAGCGCTTTATCCTGTCAATAAATAGTTGATAGTGGCCTTTCGTTATCGAAGTCACTTTCGGTTTTAGCTGCAAAATCTTCGTAGATAAGGTGAATACAGAAACAAACACCATAAGATGAAGAAAACTTGAAAAAAAAGAATGCTGATCGGAGCAAAGAAAATAAAATCAACTGAAGGAAAAATACGCAAACAAAATAGATAGATAGGTAGGAATGCTAGATTGCTGCGAAAGTGACACCAAATAATGTTGACGTGTATTGCAAAAATGATCCTTCTCTCAGATGAAGTAAGAGACGATAAGAGCTACAGTGACAAGTACTGAGGCTGGATTGAGCCCACAGTTTGTTTCTTGAGGTTGCTAGGCAACTGTTCGTGCCATTTTTCGGTTAAAACGTGTCTTAAGTTTTGCTCATGGCTCCAGTCTGTCCAAAGACCCTCTATTTTTTCTTCGGTTCGTCGAGATCGCAAGCTTAGCGAAATATTAACCGTGCGCCGTTGTAGGATATGAACGAGCCAAAACAAAGGAGTGGGGCTGAGTATGGGCTGGGGAAAGACAAAAAGCCGTCTTGGCGGCCGCTCTCTCGCATCGCTCGAGCTCTCGACGAAAAATAACTCGTAAAAAAAATAAACGTCTGTGAACAGACTATCATGGCTACTAAAACACGAAGACGTCAGATATCGATAAGTGAATTGTTGAAGGTAGAACGAAGTTTGATTGCTTTTCTTCTTTGAACTTCAGGATACATGACAGAATTTAAGGAAGTTCTTACATACGTAACTCTTGATAACATCCTATATTAGCTTCAGTCCACTTTTAAAGTAATATTTAACGAAACTAAGCCATTACTTTTAGGTTTCCGTTGATGTAGATATGTCATCTAGTTTTTGTTTTTCTCGGGCATGCTCATGTATCTTTAAGTTTGTAGTACACGTATTTAGCGATCTGGGCCGTGTTGTTCAAAGCCCGATTTAGCTAACCGAGGATTAGTGAGAATTTTGATTTCAATTTCGTAACTTTTCGGTGAGGTTTTCTGTTTATGTTATTTGTCTTTCAGTTTTGAGTTTTAATAGTCTTAAACCGCACAATACATAAGCAATGAAAAACATTTTTATACAAGAAAAATTGATACTTTGGTTACTTTTAATCTTGGGTTAGCGTTAACCGGCTTTCGAACAACCCGGCCCTGAAGGCTAACACTCTCACACTAATCGTGATAAATTAAACAACTGCAATATTTAAGAGACGACGTTCTGTACAAGTTGAGAATTCTTTTATTTGTCATTCTATCAAGGGAACGCGGTCATATGAATCGTATGACGACAGAAACACGCATGCGCACATGTAACATTCCTTGCCTCGTCCCCATGTTGTTCTTTGCTCATGCGCGGTGCGTGCGGAGCTGTGGGGCAAATCCCGAGTTCGTCTTTTAACCGGTGTAGTTGCTTGTTATTCAGAGCAGATAAATGTGCTTGTGGTTACCAGAAACTGTTTGCGACAGTTTTATGAAATATTCCGCACTACGCCGGAGGATTTTGAAATCCGAGGTTTCACTCCGGAAACGCATCAAATGTTTTCCGTCCACACTACGCCGGAGAAATTTGAAAACGCAACAAATTATTATCGGCAATTTTGGATTTGTGGTTGAAGGAAACTCGGGCAGGGGAATCACAAGATTATCATTTTCGAAAAATTCCGTTTTCAAAATGTTTTCCGTTCACACGAAAACGCAAAGCTAGCGTTTTCAAATTCCTTCGGTTTGAAGAGCGTTTCGAAAAAGTTCCGTTTTCGAGACAGGTTAGTGTGGACGGTAGGCCTAACCATAGAAATAAAGCTGTGGTTTCAAATTTCTCCGGCGTGGTGAGGACGCTGCCTAAGAAGTATATGTAACTAGCAAAAGAAAGTATAAATTTGATCCAATGGATATTTTACAATAACTGTCCAATGTCTCGCGCGCTGATTGGCTTATTTTTATTATCAATAAGAGTACAGACGGATAAAATTTTAATGTATGCAAGCTTTCAAGTTCAACTTTCAGCTGTCGGTTAAACTGTCAACTTTTTAACCAATGAGATTTTATGGACTTTTGTAAGTAGCCAGTCAAAAGCGAGAAAAGCTATCGACAATGTTCGCGTCATTTTGAATAAAATTCACTTATCTTTGTTTACGGCAAATTTACGGCGTCTTTTCCCCTCATTTATTCCCGGCATCTGACCATTTTGGGGTCTTGTTATTGTAATTAGAAAACAAATTGACGTTTACTGCGGAACCTCTCGCCTGTGGCTCGTGGTTCGACAGCCACTTTGACAATGTCATGACGCAATTTATCATCAATAAGAGAACAGACGCATAAAAAACTGACGTCAATTTCATAATTGGCATTTGTTTATGTTGACGAAACCCCGCGAAATTCAAACATTTTTAAAGTTTACATTTAAAAGAAAATTATCTTTACTGAAAGTTTTTATTCACATTCTACTGACGGCCAAACAGTGAGTAAATCCGCAGATCTACAAGACCTTTTAATGTGTATTTGAAAATTGTGAATGAACAGGCCAAGACATTCTTCAATCTCTGGGTTAGTTCCACGTGGAAAACTGGAAAACAAATTATCAAGAAATTAGATCGTGTTGAAGATCGGAATTGATAGGCAATTAGCTTTCGTGTTCAACGCCACCTAAATTTCGTTTAAATAATCGACACTGAAATATTCTGTGAAGTTAATGAGAAAACTTATGTTTTATTCATGAAATCTATTCAAACTTAGAATTACCCAACTAGTGGACTAATGCAAATCCTGCATTTTAATTGGCTACGCTACTAGAGGACTCGAGTAGTGAAATTGGCATAATCAAGCGTGCCCATTCGGCTTCGCCTCATGGGCTATTGACCCTTGAGGGCTACGGGTCTAATTGTTAAATATTCGTTATGCCGTCAATAAGCTCCTCCAGATCCCCCACCCCTACCCCCCTCCTTATTCCCTCTTCGATTAAGAGGTCTCAAAAAGGCAGGAGGATTTGTGTGAGACTTGAGATCATAACAAGATTTCAAGGTATACTAACAGTAATCCGTGCAAAGAAGATTTAGATTTTGTTATTGGTCGGAAATTCTCTTACATGTAAATGCGAAATGAATTGATCAAAGAAAAATCATCATATTCCATGCGTCGTTTCTGTTAATTGGTTTCAAGCTTTGCAGCGAAATGTCCCGAATTAAAATTTGATTTTTCCTCGATGAACTGACATTTCTGTTCAACGTCTCTATGTAGAAGTTAAGCTAAGTTCATGTTTGATTTATTTCCTTCCATATTTGCACACAAAAGTTCCAATTTTTTTTAATGTGCTGTGGCTTTTCTGTGTCGGCCATATCTAGTAGCGAATTCCCTCACTTAAAATTTAATTCTTAGCAGCTTAACTTTTTACAAAAGCATCGAAAGAACGCAATTCTAATTGGACGTTTTTCAATTGAATAAATTTTAAACAATCCACCGCTCATTCGCCACTGGTTTGCAACCGTTCGCGTGCAAATCGACTCTAAAAAAATTTGAAATGTTCAGATAAGAATTGGATTTCCATTTCACAAAGGACTTGCAAAGAAGGTTTACTTGTTAAATTTCAATTCTAAATTTACACTATTAAAGGCAGGAATCAGTGATCGAAACATTTCCGCATTTCTTTTTTCCAGCGACATTAACAATGAGTGACTTTGTCAAGTGATCATTGTCTGTTTTTCGTAAAATGAACTCTGTTCTTGTCTTTGAGACGAGAGAGTGGTGTTGCTGTATTCTTGACGAATTTCCAACGGCCATGCTTGTTTTGGCTAATCTCTTTCTTTTGGCTAACCAGAGCACAAACCTGGATCAATGGCAAATTAAACCTACTTCATATTTATATAATGAAGTCAACTTCGCTTATCACTGCGCTAAAATAAGCTCGTTTGATGAGTTTTTAGTTCTTAAAAGTGCTCGCGTCGTGATTATGTAAGAATGGATGCGATGATACTAAAAGGAACAAACAATTAAACGACCACTGGATTCCATAGTATCAAAAGAGCTTTTGGAGGCATTTTGCAATAATTACTGTGAATTTGTAAGCAAAATATCCAACTTAAAAACAGGTGTATTGTCTTCGCAGTTGTTTGTATTTCACACCCGATCAAATTTGTTCACGACCTAGTGCTTTTAATTTACAACCCCAACAAAAATAGACCGAAATGTATTCGGCGTTGGAACTCTTGATCTGAAGTTAGTTCAAAGCGAAAGGGTTCTCATTTGACCGCAGTGCTCAAGTGATTTCCTCTCGTTTTTTTTTTTTTTTTTACTCATTTTCCGATTTTTCAAAAGAAGACAGAGAGAGGTTGTTTTTATATTTGAGTTGAAACGCGTGAAATATTTATGAGCTGTGAGACTATTTTCTCGTTATCTGGCGCAACTTTTATTGTGAGTTGCGGTGACTGTTGCGGAGTTTCTCCACTGATGACAACCAAATAACACAAGCGCCATCTGCCCTTGAATGGAACTTGCTTTAAATTTTAATTCGCCATTCAAAAAGATCGACCCTCGCTGTTTATATGCGCGTAGATTTACCAACCAGGTCATATGGCTGGGAAAAGATTGATGGCACGTCTATAATCAAAGGAAACAGGTACGGCAACCCATTTTTATTCACTTGGTGACACATTTTCACCTTGTTTTACTGATATGAAACCCCGCGAATTCACCCTTTTCAATGACATAAGAGCTTTCGTTGCGGCAATTTCAACTGCCAACATTCCCATCATTTCCACAATACCGAGTTTCTGATTGAAGTCTTTTCTGCCCTTTTGGCATTATGTTTGAGATTTTTGTGCCTTAGTTTAAAGTACGGTGCGTTGTAAGCAACTCCGGCAGTTGTGGCGTATGTAGTGAAACCTTGAACAGGACTGCTGCATTTGAAATGCATATTAAAACAGCTGCACAGGACAATTTGTTCTAATCATATATGCAGTGTTACTGAGGTTAAAATTGCCACAAACATGTATACTGCTTCACGTTATTAAACTATACATGTTAAATAAGCTGGGTTTCTGCGCAAGATATCGCAGAAGGAAATATTTCACAGAATAACTTGTCGAAGTAATCGTCACTAAAATACGAGAAGACAAAGATTTGCGAGAAGAGTTTTGATAGGTTACAACAAGAGAATTTTGTGCCTCTGCGAAAAAGTTGCTTTTCCATTGTTCAACCGTTTTGATTACATGAGCCTTCGGGGTAAATATTTATTTTAATGGCAGGGTTTGCCACCTTGCTTTTTTCTTGTTCAGGCGCGTGCGGTCTTAAGGTAAATAACGAAACTTGGAAGGAATTGACACGATCTTTTTCATTAATGTAAATCCGTCTTTGCAATGGTTTACAAGATCGATTAAATTTAGAAACTCTGTTTATGACAACGGTAAATCTATTCGCAGGATATCCATAAGTTTCTTCTTCAAATTTTATCAATTGATTCATTTTCTCAGGAAATAAAAATAATTGGTTGGCGTAAGTTAAAAAGTGTGTGAACTTTCAGAACCAAAGTAATTAAAAATGTGGTTGAAGGTCTTTTTAATTATTTCAGTTACAAACATCCAAACAGAATTTCTGTGCTTTACATCACTGCGTTTTAAATGGGGAATAGCGAATTTTAACTGACAGAAATCTTGACGAAGAAAACGCTAATCTCGTTTTATGGACTGTGTACTTTGATTATTTGAAAAAGAATATTGGAATAGACGAACTATACCGCAATTTAATGAAATAATAATTCATATAAGTTGGGTTTTCGATTTCAAGAGCTTTGGAAGTTTGATATTCAAAATATCATGCATTGATTTCAGTGTGTTTTATCAACGACAAAAAACTTCGTCGTGTTAATCATGCATTTTTCATTGAAACAGGTTTTCTCGAAAAAGAAATTTTTGGCAAAATGTTTCCCAAGAACATCGAGGTTAATTTATTTGTGTGGCTCTTTTCATTTGCCAAATAAGCCATCTTTTTTTCTAACACAAGGTTATATAACTTACAATAATACTGAGACTGTTTCAGGGGAAAAAAAAGTTACATAAACGATTAAGAGATTCTAAAACTATAAACAAAAAAACCTTTCGACTTTCTGCCGCCTACAAATGGCAACAGTTTAAGTCGATTTTTAAAAATAATCTTTTACCTTCTATGAAAGTCTATTTAGTCTTTAAACAAACATTACTTCGAAAACGAACTCATTTTCATCGGCAGTAACAGTAGAAAATACAGTAGCTGTTTCTTGCTCGCTGGTTTTAATTAAGCTCGTAGTCTCTGTATGTTGTGAGTGTTAATTGAAAGGGTCCTTAAAAGACATTCGCGCGCCTCAGTAAGCGACGTACTACTTCAATAGAGAACTTATGACTACGAGAATTGGGTAACAACTTTTCAAAGCTAGTGCTTTTTTCGATTTTCACTCGTTTCACACCAGTATCGATAGTCTCCTGTTCAACTCAGTTCAGGTCAACTTAACTCAACAGGGACGAGTTAGGAATCTGGACTGGAAGTCGAAAGTCGTATTCGGCCTCGTATTCCCTGTAATAAAACGTGCGCAAAGACGAGATCAGAATCCTAAATTCTCCTCGCATTTTAACTGCACTGTCAAGCATAAGTGTGATGAGAATACCAAATATCATCTGATGAAGATTGTTGCTTTGATTTAAATGTCAGTTGGTACAGTGAATCAATGTAGTAACCACTTTTAAGCCGGTGCATATTTGTAAGGAAACCGTTTAATTTCCTTCGTCTACGATCGCGCAGTTAGAGATAACATTTCGGTCATCAATTGTTATCATGTTGAAGTAAAGATAATTTAGTAGCATCTGCATCTTAAATCTTAATGCCTATCCACGGAATAGAAATTTATCCGGTGGAAAGGTTTTTATCGACTGATTCTTTGAATAACCCAGGACCAGATGTTTGGAGTGTTGTTGCTTTGTCAGATTCCGAAAATGTCCTTCGTCAATTCCAAGCTCCATAAACAGTTGCTCTAATTAATTCTCGCGGCAGAAACTCTATACTGAGTAGTGGTGGAAACTGTACGTTGTAACTGATATAATTTCTAGGCCTGATGTTGACTCGGCATACAATGCAAGCATGAGGTGATCAAAGAGGTTTCATCCTTAAGCTTGCTCTTTCGTTTGCAGTGTTTATATCGATTTATTGTGCCTGCACATAGCACTTGGGTCGCTTTGAAAATAAGTTTCTTTTCTATGAAACAAAGTTTTATTATTCCTAAATAAATTCAGTCTAAATTAAAGAGGAACAGGAAAACGGACCAAATTCTCGTGGTAATTTAAGCAGACTTTAAAATCTGTGAAAACTATCACGGACTGGAATAATCTTAATCTCCTTATGTCCATAAATCCACTTCAGTAAATGCTGCGCTGGAGTTGGAATCTTCTTAACAATTAAAATAAGAAAGTAACGTCAGGTTTTGTATACAGAACACTCGTTTTGTGATATAACAAAGTGATGCAAACATTAGAGTGCATCAGAGTACGGAAGAGCGGACTTGCGTGCACTATTTTAGGCTTCGTCCACACTACACCGAAGAAATTTGAAAACACAGCTTTATTTCTACAGTTTGTGCCTACCGTCCACACTAATCCGTCACGGAAACGGAGCTGTCGAAAACGCTCTTCAAACCGAGAGAATTTGAAAACGCCAGCTTTGCCTTTTCGTGCTGACGGAAAAAATTTCAAAAACGGAGCTTTTTGAAAATGATTTAGTCACGATAATCATGTGATTGCCCTAGTTTTCCTCAAACACAAATCCAAAATTACCGGTGATGGTTGAGTTTTCAAATTCCTCCAGCGTAGTCTGGACGGAAAACATTTGATGCGCTTTCAGAGTGAAACCGCTGTTTTCAAATCTTTCTGCGTGGTGTGGACGTTGCCTAAGCATGTTGAATGCATGTTGAATATAAGCTCGATGTAACGGTTTAAAATGGTAGCAAAACGCAGAGGAATGTGAAAAATCCACGAAAGTGGAAGAAAGTTCCGAATCGTGCAAGATCGTTTTGTGTTGCTGCACTCATTGTACAAAAATTTGCGGTTCATACGAAACTCATTAATCCTCCTTGTTTACTATTTCGTTACGGCTTCATAAATCAGTAAATCTATGTATTTTTTTTGTCCTTAGCTCGGAGGTCACTAATTAATAAATAAAGCTCAAGCAATTACCGAAATGTAGAGTATAGATAATTTTAAATTACGTTTGGACGTAAGGTGCAAACCTATCAAATTTTAATTTACTTTAAACAAGGATGTGTTCGTGTTTGCTCTTTGTTAACACCTTATATAGAATGCTGTACAGTGTTAATGAACGCTATACAATCAGTGTTTGTCTGTTAAATTATTTAAACCTTCTTCATCGGCCGAACACACTTCAGAAACCCGTTCTATGTTTATCGGCCACTGGAAAATAAATTGAAGCCCTCTCACAACGAAAAGTTAATTCGTTAAATCGTTTTGAAAGAGTGGTCCATGGTTGTCGCACAACTTGCACAAACTGTATTTATGAACAACCCCTTCCATTTGAATAATTTTAAATCAAGGCTTACATGGACTGTTTCAAACGACTGAGAAAAAGTGCGCAATCTGATTGGCTGTCTATTGTACAGTGTCAATATCATGTAGAAATAGCGTAGACTGCCGCTTATAAGCCCCCTCGCTTATAAGCTCGCCCCGGTTATGGGCCGATCTACACGTAAACCAAAAAATACATCCAGTTATAAGCCTCNCTCCTCTAGCTTTCCTTGTTTTGAATTAGCTTTGTTATATTTTAAAGCTCTGTTAAAAACCACCAGATAGAAATCTATTTCGATCAAGTTCTTTTTTTTATTCCGGCGATAAGTCCCCTCGGCTATAAGCCCCTCTGTTTATAAGCCCATCGAAAAACCCTTACGAAGTTGTAAAAGCCCAGGGCTTATAAGCGACAGTTTAAGGTATGACCAATCTTGGTTTTTATCTTGTACGTAAATTGTTACCTTTTTTCGACTGACTATTTCAACAGAAGTTAGTAAATTGTAAGTTGCACGCGCGTTTTTTATTGGATTCAACTCCTTATGACTGCTGGGAGTAGTAGAGAAAACCGCCTGCTTCGGGTCGGGTTTTCTAATTTTGCTTTCCTATGCTCCATTCACTTCGTTTTTTTTTTTCACCCGACCGTTCCTTTCGCGTGTTTTCCAGATAGATAACCTTGTGACCCTTTCATGTAAGTCAGTTGACAAAGCGACAAAACCAATTCGAAACACTTCAATCAGGTGCCGGTTTAGAGTTAGGGATTATATTCTTGTTTTGTGTCGGCGGCTTGCAGTTAATCAACCGCCGTTATGGACTTGAAAGCAGCTGACTTTTCGAGCGTTTACAATCAAGCCAGGACAACCCGCACATTGATTTGTGTACCACTATAACCACCATGTTTATTTTCACAATTTGATGCAAATTGAGCGCGTAAGTTCTGGGGGGAGGTGGGGTGGGTGGACGTATAACTTAAAATCGTGCATTTCAACTGGTTTCGTATTATTTCTGTTAAATTTCCCTTAGCCGTGTTATTCTTTTAGTATTTTGTTACAAAATATTCTAAATTTTAGGAAATGTCGTTGTATTAAAAATACAACGATGGCATCGAGATTATTGAAATTGCAGGGTGAAACGAAACATTATTGTTTAACTGCAAGTTGTGTTCCTGAAAGTATGTTAAATTATCTTAAGTAATTTCACATTGATTTCCTTTCGTTTCGACATGCTCTGAATAAAAATAATAGCCAAACTCTCGCATGTAAACAAAAACAAAGGTGTGGCTTACTGTGACCCTTTAAGTAGTTTACTGGTAAAGGTAGTTGTTAGCTATTTGAAACTCACCATGGTGACGAAATCAATATTCTGTCATTAGCTCTCAAAACTGATTTTAGCACAAATGCTTCACTGTATTCGAACGATTTCACGTGTAGGGTATAGAGTGTAAAGTTTTATCCGCCTCAGTAAAAGTTTGTAATCATCTTGTACAGCATGACAAACAGTGCAATCACCTGCTGAGTAGCTTTCATTTGAATGGTTACGTGTACAAGATGTTCTACTGAGACAAAACCCTTGGGTGTGAGCATCCAAATGAAAGAGTAAGAAAAGTACAGTACTTTCAGGTTGAGGATATTATTTTGTTTGATTTTAATAAGTTACGTACACAAGATAAAATTTTGGCGATCCCTAGTGAAAAAGTAAATGCAATGCTGCGTAAAGCTTTCAAGTTTTCCCAGATACATGTATCGCCTATTTCCAATTGAGTTTGGTGGTCGAGCTTGGAACACATTCGTTACATTCCACTCGGCAAAGAGGCATAACTTTTAACAGTTGATATGGGTTCCAGGCTTCAACGGCAAGGTCGAAATAAGCCGAAGGCCGAAACGAGAACCCGTCAATTGTTTGAACTAGAAAAGAAGACAAAAACGCTTAACGCTGGTTCTTGACGGTTTAGGGTAGCATGCTGCAGAAAGAAGCACTCGGAAGCCTGTAGTGTGAAAAGGGTTTTCATAAGCTGTACTCTCACACTAGGCGGTAGTCTTCTATTTGTCTTATAAATTAAGGGCAAGAAAATTGAGCTTGATCATGATTTTACCTGACTTTGTTTACAAAGTCCGAAATAGTGACACGCTAAGCGGCCAATCAGATCGCCGGTAGTCTCATTCTTATTTTATAACTGCACTCAACACTTTTTAAGGCCAGTGTTGTTTCAGCATCCAGATTCTCCTCACTTGTCTCCGTACATGTTCTTAGAGTTCTTGTTAAGAGAATTTGACCAAAAATCGTGGGTATATAATCAGATCTTTCCGTTAGAAATTAGATGCAGTGTGAAAAACTTGCATGTTGCCTTCGACCAAATTTCCTTTAGTTTTTCGCAGTGAAAGTAAAAAACACGTGTATTTCATCGTTTTAATTTTGGAATATTTTTCCGTTGATTGGAACCACATAAATTTTTAGTGCAGTTATTTGACGTGATTAAAAGTTATAATCAAGTATATTCTTCGAGCGCGCAGGCCACACAATAACTGTCAGTGAAATCACTGATTTATTCAAAATTTCATTTAAAACGCCATTTCCTTCAAGCAAAACAGTAATTGCGTCGTTTTGTGGTGTTTTAGACAACGCCCGCATTTCCCCAAAGTTGGCGCCAAACGTAAACCAATCCATTAAAATTTGCCTTTTAATTACTTCGTTCGCGGACACCTGTTCAGTTGAGAACAAAACCAGTGAACTTAAATACATGGATTTCCCAAAATATCGGAATTAGCCAGTAAAACGAGGAACACATTCGTACTCAAAGGTTCACAATTCTGATATCAAGGTTTCAGTGAAGCGACCAAAACGATTAAGGATTTGAAGCGACTTTTTATTTTTGCGAAATTCACGTCGCTTGGCGAACCGTCTTGTAGAAAAGATCGACAATCTGGTTAAGGATCGATCGACGTCATCGCGGCCAGGGAATTCAAAACAATCCCATATGCGAGAGTAAGATGTTTAAAAATGAATACTGCACACACGGCATATTTCCCTCTCGCGCCCTTGTAAGGCAAAAATTTGTGTTTTAGCTATGTGTTTGTTCGCATTTTTGTTCTCGTTTGGACGCTAATAGGTGGTCAAAACTCAGGAGAATCAAGGACAAGAACAGTAACTCACATTTGCAAGGGAAATCAGTGTGAAGAATTTACAGACAGTGAGTAGCCACGAAGAAATCTCGTTGTCTTTTCCAATCTTTCTCTTGGTTTTTCCTTTTATTTGACGCGTTTTACCTTTTACCACAGTTCTTTTTCGAGTTTAGGGCGTTTCGATTGAAACTACCAATTTAAGTGTAAATTGTCCTCGAAGACCCCCGTCGACATGCAATTTGAAACAGGAAATAGTCCTGGCTTAAGGAAAAACTATCTATTAATTACACATTTTTGAGAAGAAAAGGCACACCTCGCTAACCTTCATAAATGTATATTTCTGAACTCCAAACTTCGTTTTGTGAAACGTGTTTTGTTTCAATTTCATTCAAAAACATTACCATATCACTGACAACAGTAAAATAATCGATGTTCTTTCTCTTTTCAGTCTTCAAAGAGGAACTAAACAAGCCTCGAGAAGTTTAGACACAGGACTGGAAAACTTTTGGACGTGAATAAGTCAAGGAGAGTGCCTGAATATCGCAATTGTTTTAAACAATATGAAAGGGAAGAAATAAGAGTTTGATTTGGTTGAAGCTTTCGTTTGTAACATTCTCGAATGGCCATTCGACCTCAACCATTAAGAGGTCAAAAAGAAAGTCTGGAAAGGTATCTTGGAGTGGTTTTTACAACGACAGCAGTCTTTTCAGTGTCACGTATTTAACAGACGTTTGGGAAATTAAAAAGTTCGTATTTCCTCAAGCCAAGGCCAAGGATATTAATTATTTTCAAGCCGTGTAATTCAAATATATTGAAACCAGTGTCGTGCTGTGAGTTTTGAATAATTTAAAGAGTTTGTTTTCAATTTCGGTTTAATCAGAGCAAAGACTTAGGAAAAGGCTTGTTCCTGGGGGATTTGCGAAAAGCTGGACCTTTATGACGAATGTTTGAAAAAGCTACTGAAAGCTGTGTCCAACAAAACACTGAACTCTATGGATGATCTGCAAACAGGAAATTACGTGTAAACGCCTCCTAAAGAAAGTTGGAAAGTTAACAAATTACAATAAGTGTCTTAAACAGAGGAAAACCACGTTGTAAAATAAGGGTGAATTTTTCTGGTCGGTTTTTTACCTCAGCCCTATGGCAATGGCTGTCGCCACAGCAGTTACCCTTAGTTACCGCCGGTCGCGCACCACGTCACGTGACTGGTCAATTTCAAACTCGGTACCAGTCGTGATCGACAAATTGGCGGAGCCAGTCGTCATCAACATCGGCGGGAAAAAATACGAGACTTTCGAGCACACGTTGAACCAGTTTCC